CGCCTTCAGCTTCAGCAAATGAAATTCGATAGATCATCAGACACAGAAAGATGACAGTGACATGCAACTGAACTGATTAAAAGTTGGATCTGTGAGCAGACTAGGAATAAATATACTTAAAATTCTTATGTGCTTTCCAAGCCAAAATGGATGCATCGATAGACCTGCCAACCCTGAACAGGAGTAATGCGTAGTTCCTAGTGGGGGCCAGGGGGTGGATGTATGAAAATAATTTTTCAATATAGTCACCACCTGCATAAGGTTGAAACTTGACTGCACGTATATACAGGGTTTTACTGTAACCACCAAGCACTTTTGGGTTGGTGGGGCTCTGGTGGTAACTGTAAAACCTGTATATACGCATACTCCAGTTTCTATTGCTTCTATTACCTCTTAATTATCATTACCATTCAAATTATTTGTAAAATGTTACTCTTTATTGCAGGTCTTTTGGCCGAAAAAGTGCGATTTTTGACTATTTTCAGCCAAATCTTTGATAGCATCACTAATAAATATAGTTAACTGATGTTAACTATATACTTGTTTTATATTAGCTAGGTCGAACATACATTCATAGATGTAGACATTTTATTTCACATTAGGGAACTCAAAACATTTCTCCATTTTCTCCATTTACCTTGAGGAAAGCAAGGGTCCTGCATCAATGCATCTTTCAAATGGGAAAATCAAGATGAGATGAGAGATTACTCATACTGTGAGATGAAATGAAGGGGGCTTCCATGGCGTCAGTTAATATTAAAGAGTTTAAAACGAGAGTTTAACGCTTTGCAGGTCTGCGCCAGCCCTTCAGTGATTCTTATCTTTATTACTTGATCTGAATGTTGTAAAAGCAATGCATCACAGACAGTAAAGACTGAGACAGGAAAAGCACTCAGACACAGTTGCCTATGAGTCACTCAGGTTGGTTGAACGAAGAGATTTGGAGAGGTCCAGAAAAACACGCATATCGCAACAGTCTCTCAACACCCAGGATAGAGCTCTAATCTTTATAGTCCTTACCTAGAACCTCGCGGTTGCTGCGGAGCTGTGAGGGTGAGTCAGATATCTCCAGGGTCCATGTGCCTTCCGCCCGCTCTCCCCAGCAGTGCACCGTCATGAACTCCCAGTTCCTGAAGCCCTCATTAGAGTTATCAAACAACCTGCAACACAGCCGGAGGGATCCGAAAAAAGAAGGAAACAGCTTAATGAAGAAAAACACAATGTGGATTTATGTTTTTCTTTGCTGGAAGCTGCTCGCTTGACTAATAATCATAGATGTAAGCACCAAGACCATTAATGCATTCTAACAAAACAAGAAAAAGAAGAAAAAGCAAATGCCTATTGATATTACACCCACTAAAAGATTTCACTGATTTGAAGCTGATTATGATGCCACTGTGCATTAAGTGCCAGATTAACTGCTCATACTGTATCTGATATCAGACACCTGGATTCATTCTTTCAGTGTCATAAACCATTCTTCCAAAATGCACTGCATGTGTTTCTGCACATGGCAACAACAATATCATCAAAAGAATGACTCAAAGAAAGAGCAGACAGAAGGCAGACTGCATGTAGGCTAGGGTGGTTAGGCTGTAACCAATATCATATGTTCCTGTTTGAGATTTCTTCATCATCCGTCCATGACAGACAGGAAAATTGTTGGCAGGAGATAGCTACTGCCCACATAACCTGAGCTGAGTGTGAGTAATGACAGCTCATGGGTACGTGGCATGCACTATATGCTCACTGACAAGACTGAGAAAAAAAAAAGCTTTTAGAACCATCAACTACAGCGTTTTATTACACAGTAATTGTAGTTAACAACAATGTCCCTGAGAGGAATTTTTCTCTACAGTGTGATGATATAAATTATAGGTTGGGATGATATGACAATAATATCATATCAGGATGCTTGAAGATATTTCTACACTAGACACTTTTATTTAATGTCTACAAAAGGAGGAAAAATCAAACTGTATAAAATCTGAATTTAAAAAGATCTTAAAAAAAAAACATTTTACAGTTTAAAAAATTCAGTTAAATTTAATTTAAAATTAAATCATATCAATTGCTTTCAGTTTGTAATTGTTATAAAAAATATCCTGCAATATCTTAGAAAAACATACTGTGACATAATTGATCATATTATCGATATTATATCATAAATATACATCATATTACCCATCCATAATCGTAGGCGATTGTGAACAAGATTTTAAAAAGTGTACAGTGTAGACCAGGTTTAAGAATGATAGGACTGGATAAGAATTAATGTCAAATGGACATGTCTATGTGACATATTGCTTCATCTCATAGGAGTAACTCTTGCTGGGGACACCAGGGATTCGGTTTGAAAGTGTAGCCGGTTAAAAATACTTTATATAATCGCTTGTGGCAGAAACAAATCCAAATTTCTAAAAAAAAAAATAATAATTCCTGTTCCTGTTTCTCAGTGTGTTGTCTGTAATAAGATTATATTTCTCACATCTAGACATCTATAAATGAACAAACCACAAATGAGTTTCTAGCAGGTTTTCTTTGGTGCAAACCCAGAAGTTTGCATCACACATGGCGATACGATCACAGTATTGAATCATTTATTTATTTATTTATGGAAAACTACAATCAGTGAAGCTCTCTGCTGGTTTTAGTTGTCATTATAATTGAATTTAATCAGCCTGTGAGATCATGCTCTTGGTGTACTTTCATTTTTCCTTGCGAGGAGCTAACTAAAACACAGTGTAGGTGATGAAAACCATCGCAATGCAATTCTTCCAAGACGTATATTCTTGATTAGGTATTTTAAAAACTGGCGTAGAATCAAAGGCTGATTAAAATGAAAGCTCATCTGTGAGAAGCTTCAGTACAGTTGGTCTGGTTTCTAACTTATCAGGTTGTTTGTTTGTTTGTTTGCTTAGTCATTACTCCTGTACTTTTATACAGCACTTTCCAAAACCTTTGTGCTTCACCTCAATATTTAGAAAGGTAGAAAGTACATCTAAACATACAATGAGCTCGTGCTAACTGCTTTGCCTAGCTTTCATGCATTGTTAGCGCATCAGCATTTCTGATTGAAGCATTCACAGAATCTGTCCCTGAAAAAAGAGGTGAAAGCACTTCGAACAATAGTAACTTGTTTCCAGCAAGCTCCACTTAGTGAGCTGCGAAAAGCCAAAAATAACCCTGTTTTGTACACAGACCGTCACACTGCTGTGCAAAACTAACACTCATGTGCTTTACTAATATACATAAATCATTAGTTTTCACCCTCTGCATCTGTTCAGTATGCTGGATCCTAAACAAACTTCAGGGTTTATCACCCCAACAAAATATACTGCAGATGAAATTCAAAGATTCATGGTGTTTCTGGGGTTGCAGTTAGATCAACTTAGATCAAAGAAAACCATGTCTGGTTTTACACTGGGGCTAATTAGTAGTTTGAAAAAGGCCTACAGTTTTTAAAACTGGCTCTCCAGGCTGCTCACAAATGAGATGTTCACAAATATCTTTCATTTTGGCTTTGTATTCTCAGCTCACACACATACACACACAACTACACATGCTATTAAGGGACTCTCTTTCTCTACAGGTCACTATGACTGTGTGAGTTTGTACATTTTTCACACCATTCATTAAAATAAGCAGAAATTAACATCTCCAAAGGAATAACAAATGTAATAAGTGTTATGAACTTGAACATACAGGAACATTGTATAGTTTTATTTAAATGTTTTTGTACTACATTTCTTTCTACACAAGATTGCTTTCAAGATCTATAAAGGTTGAAGATGCTTGTAGGTGATCTTGGTCCACTCCTCCATGCAGAACATTTAAAGCTTGTTTATATTTTTCGGTTTGTACATGTGGACTTATAGATTTGTGTTTCTTTAACCATATCTGTGTTGTTTTCGAAGTATGTTTGGCTCCTCATCTTGTATAAAGCTCTAGCTGTGGCCATGACTGAACCTCCTGGCAGAGGCACCCAGGTTTTGAGCTGAAATATCCTTAGTGAAATAATGATTCTATCAGTCTTCACAAGACTCTATAGCCCTGAACCATCAGCCACAAAACAGCCCCAAAGCATCACAGATCCACCTCCATATTTTACAGTGGGGTATCAGCTGCTTTTGCTTGTATGCAGTCCTCTTTTTCCTCCAAACATGCTGATTTGGCCTCATCTAACCACGACTGCTGACTGTAGTTCTAATGAGACTTGGAGACATTCAGACACTTTTTGCATTTTGTGAGATGCTTTCCGGAAAGGCTTCCTGCAACACATCAACAGCTTGTTTGTGAAGTGCAATTTAACAGTTGATTTAGAAACTTGACACCCACAAGAACCAATTAAACTGTGCAATTCTAAAACTGTAATCTTTGAGATCTTTTTTCCCCTCCTTCACCTTCATCATCCTAACTGTGTGGGGGGGACATTGTGCTTATGGTTACAATTCCTTCCAAATTTCCAGCTGTTTCAGACATGTGAAACCTTTTGCTATGAAACCTTTTGCTAATTGTGATTAACAGTATATTAACTGCTTATGTATTTTTAAATTATCCATTACTTGCCCTGTGTTGGGTCAACAATGATTTGTCTGTTTTGTGTTAAAGCTACTTTGTTTTTTCCCATGGTGATGAATGACAAAGGGATTGTACATGTGTGCAGCCACACACTGTAAAAAAAAAATTCTAAAGTACTGTAAAGTACCGTAATATCTTAATGTTGTATAAAATACCACATAAGCCAGTACACTTGCTCATTTGGCTGATGTGGGATACAGCTGAGCTGAAGGTTAAGGGTGTTGCCCAACCATGACAGCTTGGCAGTGCTGGAACTTGAACACGCATCCTTCTGATCTGTGACTCAAAGCCTTAACCACTGAGGCACCACAACTACACCATAACAAAACCACAACTAGCTTGTATTAAGTCATCTACTTCTACCACTGAATTAACTCCACTAAAAGATTGCATTGAATCAATGCATTCTGATTGAGTTAGTTGTGGTGGCTCAGTGGTTAAGGTTTCATGTCATAAAAGAGAAGGTCATGTGTTCAAATCCCAGCACCACCAAACTACCTTGCTTGGCTCCTTGAGCAAGACCCTTCAGCTCAGCTGTATTTTGCAGATGTAATGGGTTATGTGTCATTTTATACTATGTAACATATCACAGTTCTTTATTGTAAATATATTTTACGGTAGTTTAAAAGTTGTCAATTTTTTCAGCACTTTATTGGCAACCCAGGTTGTAAAATCTACAGTAAATTTTATACAGTGCATATTTATACCTTGGGTAACAGGACATGGTTAAAGACAATAGCATTTATTTAAAATATTCTTTAGGGGTATGAGTAATTATGGCATACAGTGGGGTCCAAAAGTCTGAGACTACACTAAAAATCTGGGATTTTTTTCATTTAAAATGAAAAATAAACAGAAGGTTTTAGAATTTTGAAATATTCAAAAGAAAGTAAATTTTCAATATCTTGAATATTTAATATTCAAGATTCTGCACTATTTCTAGGTCCCTATTTAAATGTAAGCAAATTTGTGATATTGTGTATGTTAAAAGCTTTGTACAAAAGGTCAGATCTTCCTCATGCCTAATCTCTTCTATTGAAGCATGTGTTCAGACGACACTCTGATGGATTTGATCTAAAATGGATCATAAGGTTTTGCACAAACTTGTGGAGTCCATGTCAGCTCGAGTACACACTGTCATTAAAGCAAAAAGGGGATGTACCAAATACTAAGAAACTCTGAAATTCATGTAAATATTTTAAAGATTCTACTTTTCACTCAAGTTGTTGTCAATAATACGATTTGTAATGAACATTGTTGTATTAAATTAAAAAAGAATGCAAAATAGAAGCAATTTCACTAGTGGTCTCAGACTTTTGGACCATATATTTTGAGAGAAAATGCTATTATTTAAACAAGTAGTCCTAATGAGAATGATTATTAAATAGTTAAAAGATAAATAGTTTCTCTTATTTTTGGAGCGTAAATATAAATTTTATACGATGATTTTTTTTTGACATAAGGTGCCAATAATTCTGGAGGGCAAAGAACCCAATGCAAATTCAGTGTCACATGAAAAAAATGCTCTGGACTGAATATAGGAACATCACGCCATACCCTGTGGCGAGACCGTGGCCAACGAACGATCACTAATAAATACACACGAATCACAGGGAGCACCATTAGCTTGTCATCCCTCGCCACATTTGTTCTTGCTAAAGTGAGCTCTTTGGGGGAGGTAACAGCACAAACGAGGAATTTGACAGGTCCCTGTGGTCCTGTGCAGTAAATAATGAGAGGAAGTGTCACAACAAAAAAGCTCAGCAAGGAGCTATCAGGACAGCAGGATACTGAGGCAGCCGTTCGAAGCTGACTCGTGTCATTATTATCAGCGGAAGGACAAAGTCACAGGAGCATTTTTCATTCCTTCAAACACTTGTATTGCAATGTAGGAGCCAGCATATTTATTCTGATATACAAAAAAGATAAAAAACAAATCTAACAACTCAATCAAAATAGTCTGTTATGTGAGTGACACATAAAAAGAAGGAGTGTGTATTTTAGCCCTGATGCGTTGCCAGAATACCAGTGTCGCTCAAAGTTCATAACTGTATCCAGTGACAGTTAAGAGAACACCAAGCCAATAGATGATGCCAGAGAGCACCACAAGAAGCGAAGGGAAGTTGAAAACCATGTAAATGAGTTACATCTGACAGGATCTACATCATACTCTTTAAGCTTGTATAGAGACTCTGAATATAATGGAACTAAGAGGAAAAGATTTCAACATCTGCCAATATAAGAGAGTGAGTCAAAGCCAGGACAACAACACAGAGCAAAATCTTATAGCTTATGTGAGCCTAGAAGAATTAAAGTTGCTATGTAAGGATTTAGTAGATACTAAGCACAGTATTTCACAGCTCTGGATTTCTTAGGGAAAAAGCATGTAACTCATTGGGAATAGCCTCCAGATTTGTACATGATTGAATGCCTCCAAGACAGTATATGTGTGGTAGCCTGGGAAAACCCTTCACATGGTCAAATTTTGACATTTTCTACTATATAAACTTCTGTAGACTTTCTTGAAGCAACAATGTTTCCCTTTTGCATGTATCTCAACCACAAGTAAAGTTCTAGCACTGAAAAATCTGGTCATCCCCAAAAGTGAAGATTTATGTCTTTTTATTAGGTCGTGTAAACATTTGAAAACTTTGTCCACTGTTGTCTGTACAGTGTGTAAGCGCTTTTCTCTGTTTTGATGTTGATGTGATTGTGTAGGAGAATCATGGACATTTTGACATTTTGAACAAAAACTGAATTTGATTAGGCTTATGACCATTTTGCTATGGCATGTAATCTGAAACCTTTTTAAAACCGTGAGAAAAGCAGAATAAGCTAGGAAGACTGAATGTTTTTACCACTGCGTCTGTTAAACTAGTTCCTTACTCAGCATGATCTTTGCAGGCAGACGCCAAGGCAAGGTTAGAAAGTAGACTAAATAAATAAACAATACTTTGGTCTAATATAGTTAGTAAAGTAGTTGAGATGTCAAAGTATATTATTGGCAAAACACGATTCTTCATAATTTTTGGTTGTTTTCCAGAATTCAGCCACAGTGATATCTGACAGGTTTTTACAGACCACCACACACATTTGTGGTATTATTAAACCATAACTGACCAGCTAACATGTGTATGTATGACTAATGTACTCACCTTTTGGCCAGGAGCTGGGAGCGTGTTCCTGATGGAGAGACAAGGCTGATCTCCAGGTCTCCCCTGCGTGGGTGAACGATCAGCACCCGTACCACTACATGCTCCAGGAAGGCTACATGTTGCTCTGGTTGCCCGCTGCAGCCCGTGCTACTCATGGTAACATTTAGCTTCTGCTCTGGCCGGATATACCTGCAGTGGGGCACAGAGGCTCCTAAATGGGCAGTAACTCATTATTAAGCATTTTTGTGTACACTTGCTTTTTTCTGTTCTGTATGCAATTATATTTAACTACAGAACTTGACTCTTACTGTACATAAACATGTCAAAACATAGTTCTGTATTTATTGGAATGTACATTTCCTAACACGCATAATATTTTAAAATATGTTTTCATGTTATATACACCTTCCTAGCTCTACATTCAGAGGCGGCTCTATATGGTCCAGTGCCCCATCATCTATATCAGCCATTCAACACGTTAATCTTCATTCGCCCACATGTAAGTCTTCATTCCCCACTCCATACAGTCTAAATTATAGCTTTTGAGTGGCCAACTTTTTAAAAAAAATACGTTACTATTTGATAGATACAGTATAATCCAATGTTCCATTAATTTGCTTGCCTTTCTAGATGCTTCAAGTCTTTTGTGTAGATTTTTAGATATAGTTGGGCTAGAAACTTTGCGGAAACCTGGCATCCCTGGTTAATTGTATTAGCTATACTGTGTCCATCTCACACACAGGAAACACACCTGCTGTATCAGACACAGTTAAACAAAGGTGCGTCTAAAACTGTTCAAGCTGCTAGAGTGTATGCTGAAAGACTATGTTGTCGGCTCTCAACTGCTTATTACAGGGTTACTCTAAAAATTCACTACGTAGTAAGATAAGCCAAGTGTGATAGCCTGTGACTGTAAACTTAAATTTGTTTGCTATGTTGTTATTAGTGTTGTCCTGCCCCACCAAAATCTATGATCACGAGCCGCTGCTGTCTACATTGTTACTGTCATCACCAGCACCAAAAGAGATTAACAGACATAATACATAATTGTACTTGCCGAATAACATATTAGATTCTTATTTTCTGGACAAGGCATAGCTTATGATATATTTTAATGTTCATATCTTTTCCTTTGTAATGACTGAAGTACTGCAGACTGGAAGCAGGGATTCTACCATTAAAATGAACATGTAGATAAAAAATCACCAGAACATTAAAAGGAGAAAAGTTTCCTATACTAAATAAAGTCAAAGTTTAGCAAACAAAGAACAGAGAGAACAAGTAAGACATCTAAGACCTGGGCTTATTACAGCAGACAAGTAAGAAAACCTAGAAACATATATCATTATCTCTGCTTGGTTGTGTTGCTTGGCTCATTAAGTTCCAGTTATGCTTATCTTTTTTGGTCAGTTTGGGATTTAATTGAGCCCAAACTGTTGTTTTCTGTGAGTATCATCATTTCAATGGCTTTACATCACAAACTAGAATAAACACTTTTATGACTGGGTTGAGAACAGCAGAGGACAGATGGAAGCAAAGTGAGTCAATCAAATCTTGGATCCTTATTCAACACACAATTCAGATGCAGGCATTGTCCAGATCTCCCAGATCTCAGTGAGTGGGCTTTCTGAATACACAAACTCCTCTGTGAAGTAACAGTACGGTGCCATCACCACCACCCTCCATCTGGCCCTCAGCCACCTGGACAAAAAGGACACATACGTTCGAATGCTGTTCATAGACTTCAGCTCAGCATTCAACACAATCATTCCTCAGCACCTGATTGGAAAGCTGAGCTGGCTGGGCCTGAACACCTCCCTCTGCATGTGGATCCTGGACTTCCTGACTGGGAGACCCCAGTCAGTCCAGATCAGGAGCAGCATCTCCAACACCACCACAGTGAGCACTGGGGCCCCCCCTGGGGCTCTGTGCTCAGTCCACTGCTGTTCACTCTGCTGACTCACGAATGTGCAGCGATGCACAGCTCAAATCACATCACCAAGTTTGCTGATGACACAACCATGTTGGGTCTCATCAACAAAAATGACGAGTCAGCACACTGAGAGGAGGTGCGGCGGTTAATGGACTGGTGCAGAGCCAACAACCGGTCTCTGAATGTGGACAAAACAAAAGAGGGAGAGCACGGACTAACCACTCTCCGCTGAACATCCTCTGCACAGCACCTCTGTGGAGATCGTCAAGAGCACCAAATTCCTTGGTGTTCACCTGGAGGAGACCCTGACCTGGTTCCTCAACACCAGCAGTGTCTCTACTTTCTACTTTCTCCCACCCCCATCCTCACCATATTCTACAGATGGAAAATCGAGAGCATCCTGA